TATAGTCGGTCTTTTTTAATTTCACTGGTATTCACCGCTTCTAAATGTACCGGTTTTGAAGGAGCTTATGCCGCTGAAAGATGAAAACTCGCGTTGCAGGATGATGGTTTAGTATAGCCGTGGAGGGAAAAAACGGATCAACAGGAGATTTTTTGAAAGAGTGGCCATTAAAAAATTCTGATAATTTTCGAAAGCGTCGGTCTTCTAGTTCTAATTAGCCTTAGAGATTCGCAAAAATAAATGCGAAGGAAGGTAAAATGAATCTTCGAATGAAAATTCGCGCGTTCTCAAAAATTGCACCATAAACCCTTGAAAAACGGAACAACGGAATTATTTTTCGATAGGGTGACCGTTGAAAAAAATTGTTTGCTTTTTTAAAAAAGCTGAATTTTTTTTTCAACGGTTTTCATTTCAACGCGCGAATTTTCATTCGAAGATTCATTTTACCTTTGAATATCTGCAAAAAATAACAGTTAAGGAAGATGTGAGTGTTTGAATGATGAAAACTTGAACAAAACAGATGTACGGGACGACTCTTCGAAGTATTGAACATTTGCAACAGCTAAAAACTTTTTAGAAAGAAAACAATCTGAGTTTTTAACATTTTTGCATCCCATCTTATGAGACCGCTTTTCAAGGGAGATATAACCCTCTTAGTGAAGAGGTTCGTATAGCTTTGTACATATGTATGTACCTGCTGCAAGATTGGGTTCTCCAATTTGCAGAAAAAGGATATTTGCGAATCCGAAAAAAAACTTGATAGTTCTCTGAGATCTCTGTGATTTCTATCATGTCTTGGTTCACGCAAAATTTGGGAATTTGTTTTATTTGATGAGTAAAATTCATGTTGCCTCGATTCCCGTCCTCTGAGCGAACAAGCGCGCGGACTTACCACTGTCCACCACCTCTCCATGTCGGTGACGGCCCACACATCGATGATGGGTGTAAGAACATGTATTTAAAAGGACGCAACAAACTAATACAGGGAGGGGGCGGGGGTCATGCAAATACCCTTGGGAAGAGGAGATTAGTGAAAATTTTAAAATCTGCGCCCTGCCTATGACCGCTGCATTTCATGCAATTCAGACTTGTCCATTATTCGTCTGCACTCCAGCTTTCCTTTAAGTCGCGGGACTTTTGGCTCGTCCGGGCTGGCACGCGGCGAATTGCGCGGCGGCATGCGCGGCGATCCGGATGAGGTAAGGCTTCGCGGGTTCTGCAATAGAATTCAACACGTCAAGCGTGTGCAGATTGCTGATAAACTCTGCATGATTCTGCGGTTTGAAAAAACTTTCCGAGCGCGGAGATTTGAATGCGGCGGTGTCGGTGAGGAGATTTCAGCACAAGGAGATGGGAGAGAGCCTTCATAAAAATCTCAGTACTACATCAGTGCGAAAAAGAAACACTGAAGTTAGGAGTTCTTACTTACAAGGAAAGGCTCCCAGGTCGCCATGGCCATTCAAGAAGAGATGTATACCACTAGATGTGCCTTTGAACGCTGATCTCAAATCTACCTTCCAAATCTGCTAAACGATTCTCTGAATGGAGTTATGAAGCAAAACAGCGCAACGGTAGTGGTCGGGACTCACAGTCAAAACGTCGTAGGATCGGTCCCTTATCGTGTTTACTGTTTTCCATTCTTCAGAAATATAGCTAAACGGCTTTTAATAGCTTATATAACTGAATTTATTGAAGAATCAAACAGTAATTCCATAAGGTACCTGGGACCAGGGTCAAGCGTGCGTTGAGGAATCCTCGACACGTCACAGGGGGGGGGGGTCGTATTGGCCCGCTGGGGGAAGAGATCGGGCCATTTTGATGCAGTAGGATCATCACCGTCGGAGGACAAATATCAAGGATGAGTCGATGCCAGGCCAGAGGATTTCCAATGAAAATGATATTTCACCCACACAAAATTTTCGTGATTCTGAGGCGTCCGGTAATTCTTAGTTACTTCAGTGTTTTATCACCACACAAGTTAAAGAATCTGAATTTCGCACGCTTTCCAAGAGATATTTCATCTTTCAAGTAAGACCCCGAATCTGAAGGGATGTGAGGTACACGGCGCATCCGAGAAAGGGTCTAGTTGTTGCGCGCGCTTCAACTACGGCTCCTTGGACAAACAACCTCAATTCAGGAACAATCGAGAGAATTCTGAAAGTGTCCGTGCGCATTTACAGGGAGGTGTACACCATTCAACATTGCGTTAACGGACTCTTCAGGGTTAAATTTATAAACATGTAACCTTTAAAGTTGAGAAACGCTAATCAATCACTTTTCTTAGAAAGAGAAAAGCAGTGATTCCAAATCTGCTCTTACTTTAGTACATAATCGCCCTTAAAAGGATATACAGCCGTTGAAATAGTGCCAATGTAGCGAAAAAGTACCTTTCGGCGGTACTCGTGCAAAAATCCTCAACGTAGCCATTTTTTTAATACTGGACGTTTGGAGCAGTTCTAGTAAGCGTTTGATAGAGCAAATCTTCTAGTTTATGATGACGTATTAACTTTTCAGATTGGATGAGTTTGAACGGAGTTATGGCTTTGGAAAGCGTAAAAACTCGCACTCATCACGAATTTTCCTCGTTAATTTTGCAAAAATCCTCAACGTGGCCATTTTTTGAATACTGGACGTATAGAAGCTGCTTTAGCAACGGTTTGATAGAGAAAATCTTCTAGTTTTGTATGCCATATTAACTTTTCGAATTTGACGAAAATGAAGCAAGTTATTGCTTCGGAAAGTGTAAAAACTCGTGCTCATCTCGAATTTTCCTCGTTAATTGACCTAAATTTGTTATTTCTTATAACTTTTTGTAATTTCTATACTGATTAGAAAAAGCTCTTCACAAAACTTCCAAATCTGCTTTCAGATTGAAAATTCGTCATATTTGAAGAAAGTTATAATCATTTGAATATTTGTTCAAATTTCAATAGTAAATAAGCTGCTCCACGGTCAACGCCAAAGTCCAGTCAACACACAGCTGGCGAAGGCGGTTAAAAAGCTTCTTTCAACTGAAGGGCTACGTGCAAATTGAGAACCACAATCTGTGTAGTACTAGAATTTGGTAAGTCTTGTGGAGGAAATAAATAAAGAACAGATGTTGTCATAGTATGCCATTTTTAGTGGCTAGTTTGTCGTTTTCTGGTCTGTTTCTCGTTTGCTCGTTTGGTAGGACTCATCAATAATGATTATTCTTTGACTTTTTCACTTTTGTACTTCTTAAACGAATTTTTTTGTGGGCGGTGGGGTAGCAGGGCTTTTTTATGAGCAGTTTTGGGGGAGAATTAAACAAGCTTTTCAACCTTTTCATAGTTCGGCTTTTGAAGAGGGTTGTTTCATGGACTTCGGCCTCCGGCGGAGGGTGGTGGGGGGGGGTCGTATTTCCAAATTTTCCTCAACGCCTCGCTTGACCCTGCCTGCATTTTTGACTGTGAGTCTCGAGCACTACCGTTGTGCTGTTTTTCTTCATAACTTAATTTAGAGAAACGCTTGGTAGATTTGGAAGGTAGATCAGCGTTCTAAAGCACATCTAGTGGTATACATCCCTTCTTGAATAGCCATGGCGACTTGGAAGCCTTGTCCTGTTAGCATATAGTATTTAGTGACCAGACTTATGTCATTAGTTGCTGATCGCGGCAATCATGCTCTGAGGGGTAGCATTCAAAACAGGGCCGATGGCAGGTGACACTAGGACTAGGCCCAAGAGACAGGTGACACAAGGACTGAGCCCAGGAGAGGGAAGAAACGCCGGGAAGATCACAAATTGCTCACATCTTCCCCAGGAATCGCTTCTCCTACTGGAGGATCAATTCCAAGCGCAGTAATCGGCTCACTCACTTGATGTCCTCACCCTCCTCTCGATGCCCCTCGCTATGTTTGTTCTCCCCTTTGCCTACGAAGTTTCCTTACCATCATCGCCATTCTCAAATCTAAACGCATTGGAAAGTGATTGGAATTGCAGAACCTTGCTGATTTTATCCGCCACCTGCACATGCTTTGAAGTTCTGAATTCGTTTGCAGAACCCGCGAGGCCGTGCCTCGTCCAGATCGCCGCGCAGTTGTCGCGTGCCAGGCCGGACGAGCCAAAGGTCCGTTCCCCATGGCAGGATTGAACCACAAACGGATAAAGGACAACATCGAACTTGGCATGACGTCTAAAACAGGCATCGTATGCTGTGTTGGCAGGAGAGCCCAGATGAGACCGGAGTTCGAGCTACTCGGACCAATAATCGCGACGAATTTTGTCGCACGTACATGAACCCGCAGCTACGCGTGCAAATTTGCATACGTTCCTGCACGTAAGTTACTATCAGTGCTCTGTTGCTGTCCGCTCTACAGTTGCCAGCGGCTTCACTGTAGAATGGCTGGTGCATTCTCAGCCCGAAATGCTCGGCAGTTTATTGTTTTATATTTTCCTTATTCGAGATGTCATCTTTACACAGTCACATAAAAGTACTTTACTACTTCTTTAGCACTGACTGCTCCTGAACCGCAACTAAAGAATGTACTCAATCGAATGTTATGAGATCAATAAAATCTGTACGACTATGCCAGAAAACACATCACCGTATCATCATCAATGCGTTCGTGTATGGCGACAACACTTACATACGGCGATGAGACGAGGAAAAGAAACATAAATAACACATTCAAACACCCGAGCGGACCCTAGAAGCTCGACCTATTCGATGAAAGCGAACCACGCAGTCGACACGTTCCTGCACAAAACCGCTCCCACTACGTCACTGCTAATTCTAGAGATATAGGAAGAAAACTAAGTGTAATCATGAAGATTTAGAGGAGATGTGGCAGCAGTTGTGTTGCAAGACGGAAGAAGAACAGAACAACATGGATAGCTCGAACACAAATAGGAAATGACTATCTCTTATGAACACTACGGTATTTTGGAATATATCCAATACGAATCGTTCAATCATTAGCGAAATCACATCGCAACGCAATATTTGTCAAATGGTTAAACCAAGTACGGTACGAAAGGATCACAGTCCTACAATAATCAGCTGATCGATGAGGTCATTTGTGCGATTGAAGATATGGTTGATGTCGAACACGCGGCGCACAAATGATGCCACCTTCTGGAATTTAATCACCTTAGTTGATAAAAAATACGACTAACGAACTCTGAAGCCATTTTGTAGCGGTTCTTTATTCATTTCTTCCTACTGAACACAGACATTTTGAATATAAGTGCTTTGTGGTGTAGTCACCCTCCCTTTCAAAAACGAGAAGAGCGTCGGGTGCAGACCATACACCACAAGTGACGACGGCCTCCAAGTAAATCTGGTTAGTAGTGGTTCATAGTGATAGCTGATTTTTGGTAAATGATAGTTGTAATTAGTGACAACTGATAGAATACAACTGCAACAGGCTAATCATTTCATTGGCAGAAAACATTTACATTTTGTGGAGGCCGTCGTCACTTGTGGTGTATGGTCTGCACCCGACGCTTTCTCGTTTTTTGAAAGGAGTATATATACAACCTGTAGGCTGGGACTACGACTGAGAAGCTCCGACACTAATTAAACTGGGTGACCAGCGCAATAGCGCAGGGTAGAGTTTATAATAATTTGTTTCGGCTCTGTGGAAGAGAGGAAAGGACTAGAAAGAGCTAAAAAGAACAAGTTAAACAAAAAATATAAGAGATGCAAAGGCGAAGGAAACTGAAGACATCGTTCGAGGGATCAACCCTAGCTCATACCATTCTCATATCATCTCGGTACGATCGTTTAAAAATGGCAAAAAAAGTGAAAAAATAAAAACTTCAGCTTAGTTCGAATTCAAGGTGGATTTTAAAATAGATGGAGATGGAAATGAGAGGGAAAGAAGGAACAGAGTGGCGGGAAGAACAAGAGGATTCAAGTGGGTTGGGTAAGAGCCACATGTAAATTGATCGTTATATTGATTTATACGCTGAGATTTTCGTTCCCCGAGCCAAAAGTCTGAAAGTGCGATGGTGCGGCCAAGATTGAAGATCTTCATGACACAAAAAGGAAGTGAGACTTGCAGCTGCGTGAATCACAGCGATTGTTAAGAATTGCATAGTACTTTAATAAAACGACAACGAACTCACATTCAATGTAGCTGTCATCATTAGAAGATTGGAGAACAACAGCTGCGATGCCTTGCCACGTTCGTTGCTGATCCAAAGGAATAACTGGCTCAACAAGCGTAAGCGTTCTGCTTCAATCGTTTTCTTGCCAGTCGACGACAAACCCTCAGCATCTGAAACACCCTTTCTTGATTAGTGTTCCATAATCGTAACCTGAGCATTTCAATATTTCGTGCCGTGCCGTTTATTATGAAGATATTGCTTCATTGGTTGACGTTTCGAGCAACACATCCTCTTCACGACAAAAAAAATATAATAGATTATGGTACACCCTGTCACGCGCCAGTTCTGATCAGGGTCGAATATCGGTCTGAGGATTCCTCAACGGCACGTCGAGGATTTTGCCTGATCATTTACGTTCTCCCGCGCGGACATTCACACTCGCCATGCGCGAGCCGTCTGTGCTCTCCGCGCGTACGTTCACTCTCGGCACTACTCTCGCACAGCAGAGACTATGGTCGAGGAATCTTGCCCGCTCCACCCTGGTTCTGAAAGGTTGGTCACATTAGCACCCAGGAAGTCCGAGAAAAGCTTAGGAAATTAAGCAATACTCCGTCACTTAGTCTGTGTTGAATTCATACTCGTGCATGATGAACTAGTCCAATGAACACGTGTTTCAGTTTGAAGAAGGAGTGTGTACCAAACGAGGGATTAAAAGCCAAAAAGTAAAACATAACCCATTACATTTGGTCAGCCTTGGGTTTTGCTCGCCCGTAATATTGAGTTGGTGCCAGAGGCTTCCAAAATCCTTCTAGCACCGATTCAATAGGCGAGCAGTGATGCGCCATGCAGTTGGGTTCTGCTTGAAAACTCTAGTGAATATTTGGCCCATAATTGTTCCTGGGCAATGTTCGAATTTGTGTTCGTTTATCAGTCCAGAATAGCAAAGTTTTTAAATGACCTGAGGTGTGGAGCTTGGATGTACTCATGAGAGTCCACGGACAGTACAAGAAAAAAAAACTGCGCCATTGGCATAACTGTTTGTCAACGCAATTATATTCGCCCCCAAAAATGCATTATACTTGCGACACAAGTACGAGCTCGGGTGCCCCTGTACAAAGTAAATACAATGCTTCCAACTCGAATATCGAAGAATCAACTTTCTTCGACCGTTGAGACGATTTTAGTGAGATGCATTTCGCTTTCCGATGCAAGCCCATATTTGCCTTCTAGTATAGCGGTACTTCAAAAGAGTGAAAAAATTGCCTTGAAGGCAGCGATTACGATAAAGAGGAAGCGCATCGCGGAAGCATATGCACCACACGAATCAGTTACTTGGCTGCCAGGGAAGCGAGGTGTAGCGCTTTCACGGGTGCGCTGGTTGCTGAGCAGGACTTCGAAAGCACTCCGCCCCCAAAAGCGATCCGCCCACTAGTTTACTTGGTGATTTGGACGAGCTGCGTTGCGACGTAAGCAAACCAGCC